CCTGTGAAATGAAATTTTCTCGCAAGAATATCTCTTTCCTTGTGCATCCAGAACGACAGTACGACACAATATATTTGAAAAAGTGATTCTTTTCTCCAGACGGGGAAGTTTTCCTCGACTTTTTTCCGACAGGGAACTCAATGCAGTAAATTTTAGGAGCAAAACTGTTTGCTCCTACAATGTATTGCATTGAGTTGGCCATGTTTTTAATTTTTTTTCGTGATTGCGTTCAAATTTATACTGGCCGTGCAACGGTTTGCAAGAGGGGGAATGAAACTGACGTCCAATCCGCGTAAACATGACGTTTGAGGGACTGAGACTGACGTCCAATCCGTGTGAAAGACTGGTATCGAGGCTTCATTGTTTTCACAATCAAATGACTGAATGTTATCATTCCAGATATATATATATATAGAGTTCACTGGGTCTAGGCTGGTTCGTTCATACAGATTTCTGAGATTCAGTACAAAAGCCGAAAATTTTAGTCCAAAAAACCCCGGAATTCTGGGTTGAAACATATCAGATTTTTGTCCCAAAACAAAAGGTAAGTTCATTTTTGTTACTTTTATCGAAATTTTTGTGTAATCTTGTTATTTATAGCAATACACGAATATCGTTTCTTGTGGAAGGTATGTTGACCAATGATCATTCAGGCTGTTCATTTTGTGCTTGCATTCATTTATTAAGGTTAGCACTATTTTCCATCCAGCAAACCGCCCTATCGATTTTCTAAGGTCGTTTCTTTTTAGAATTTTTTATTCATTCGGTTAGAGTTAGAGTTAGGGTTGCAGTTTAGGGATCGGGGTTAGCCTGCTACGCAGGCGGTAGAAGCTAGAAATACCGCCTGCCCAAAAACTACACATTCTGAGTTCCGCCCACCGAACGCATGGTCCCGTCCATCTTACAGGTAATGTATTTATTTGTCAAACTCCCGTATTGCACCATTGCAAATATACGGCTTTGATGTTTCATATCTTCGGTTCATTCAGTGCTACGAAGACAAAAATACCATGTTCAATTCAGTGTAACAATATGTCCTCATTCATAGCAAAAATTTTAGTCGATGTCAGCATTATAGCGATTTATGAGCTTTGAAAGTCAAGCGAGTTCGTATATTATCAAATTACACAAATAAAAATATCTGAACAAAAATATAGACTAGCCATACCTTTCGCCGAACATAACTTCAGCCGCTTCAGACGTAACTTCTTTGTACAGTAATAGTCTTATTCCAATCGCTATCAAAAACACTACTTAGAGTGTCATTTACGAGCCTGTATCTTCAAATCTGCACTTTTCTCACGGTAACACATCTATCAAGCAACAAATGTTGGATTGATATTCGTTGTTCATTCTTCAAGACGATGGGATTACCGATTCCGGATAAAGATTAAAGAATTCAACGCTTAATTCTCAATTAATACATTCGTTTTTTTTCATTAGTGTATGCCATCACTCGATATAGGTATCAATTACGAAAATGACAATAGTTTATATAAATACGGCAACAGTAACAAGTTTCTAAAATTAGCACTATTTTTTTTAATTCTTTAATTCTCCTGTCAATCAAAAATTCAAAATTAACATTCTGACCAATCAGAATGCTTCGTCACCCAGCTACCGGAGAACTCAGAATGTGTAGTTTTTGGGCAGGCGGTATTTCTAGCTTACCATTCTCTCGTGCCCGCGCATACCGCCTGCTACGCAGCAGGCCTCGAATTTCCCTGAAATCAATCGACGGCAATGGCGTTAAAAATTGCCGTAGAACGTAACAGCTGTCTACGGCATTTTTGGCAGTTTCCACGGCATTTTTCAAATTACTGTAATAAAACTTTAATTTTATTGTTACTTTGGATTTTTGACAAGCTAGAAACATGTCTACATATTTCTTTTGTGGTTGTTTTTTTCGAAGAAAACTGAGACTAAAATAGTGATTTACGCCTGATTAACATCTGAATTCAAGTATCAAAGTAGTAATGCACAGTGAATAGTATAAAAATTGCACTATACGGCAAAAGATTGCCGTCGTTGCCGTAATGATCAACGGCATTTTGTTCTCCCTCTACGGCAATTGCCGCGATAAAATTCGAGCCCTGCTACGCAGGCTAGATCGGGGTTGGGGTAGTAGGCCGTGGGCCGTTGTGCGAAAAAGTGCTTGGAAAAGCAATTTCGTGGCAACCCCCTGGGGAATAGATTTTCTGTGGTTCAATGCACAGTACCATAGATGCCCAATTACCACAAAAAGTTCCCAAGCAAAAAACTTGCCAAACACCGAGAAAATGGGTGATCAGTGATTATCCTCTATTACATTGTATTACAGCGAAAAAATGTGAAATTTTGTATTCAATTACATCAAAAATGACTAGCATCATCGGAAAGCTAACAAAAAACTGGATATAATACATTTAAACAGTTTTTTTATTGTGTTCGAGTTATGCGCTGTCAAAAACGCGTTTTCGACCTAGTACCCAGTCCTTATTGCGACATTTTGGTCCAATTTTCACATTTAAAACAGCAATAACTCAAAGACTCTTTGAAGGATCAAAAAACTGTTTGAATGTAAATACAAAATTTCACATTTTCCTGCTATAATACAATTTAATAGGGGATAATCACTGATCACCCATTTTCTCGGTGTTTGGCAAGTTTTATGCTTGGCAACTTTTTGTGGTAGTCGAGTATTCATGGTACTACGCATTGAATCACAGAAAATCTATTCCCCAAGGGGTTGCCACAAAGTGAAATAATTTTGGCCAACGGCCCATGGCCTATAGGGTTTGGGTTAGGGAAAGTACATTTATTACACCGAGGGAGGGGGACGAAGATGTCTTGAAAAAAGCTCATATTTTTACAGGGCCCCTGTTGAGGTTATCGGTAAATTTCGATGCCCCCCTCCAAGTTTTTAAAATTTTCAATGCCCCCCCCCCCTCTAGAATTTGGAATCGAAGGAGTATAATCCAGAATTCTCTCTTATCATAGATACAATTTGCAGTTCCTCAAGATGTCTGATATACTCAAGCATGTGCTTCTCCTCAACAAAACTACCGATCTGCTGCTTCTTTCACCTCACTAGCGCCAGATGAAATGGCACCGTCTTTAAAACATTTTAAATTGGCTCTAGGGCTGAAATTATTAACAGGTTGTTGTTGTCCATCATTCAGCATATTCGGAGTTTTGAACATGTTCATGTAGTGGCCAGGATTTCCTGGATCAGGGTAATGTGCTGGAACCTTACAGTATGTCGCCCCACCCAACGTATCTCCCGGCATCTGTTGCAAATGTCTTTGCATGCCTGTCAAAAATGCATGCAAAAGTGCCAGTATGCTTCAATTTCTTTAATTTCCATCCCGTTTGTACGAAATATCCCATAAACATAGAACATATCATTCTTGCAAATCGTATATGCTTTTTTGTTTTTGGAACTACTACTTTTTGGCGGGTAAATTACTTCACAAACCTGGCACCAAAAAATTTAAAATAAGCTATAGGTGATTTCATGTATCCATTTAGAAGAGCAGACTAAGGATATCTTAAAACTGAAATCGGTTTCGAATACAACCATCAGGGACGTAGCAAAGCATCTGACATTTGGGGTGGGGGGGATGTCAGAGGATTATACGTGTAATAATTATAATAAAGCTTTTTGTGATTGATTGGCACTCTCATACTAAGTTTTGGGAGAAAAGGGGGGTCTGGGGGTCCTCCCCCAGAAAATTTTTACATTTTTGAAGCTCTAGGACTGAATTTCTGGCGTTTTCTAAAGCAAATTTCGCAAACAAATTGCATGTAAATTGACTGTATTTTACAAAAATGGTTATCATTTCACAAAAATAATTACTTTATTACGCAAATTTTACCTGAAAATGTAAAAATTTTAACTTTAATTTGCTGGGGTCAAACCTTTGAAAAGTTTAGAGCCCCCTTCAGTATATCAAGAACTTTCAGAGCCCCCCCTTTAATGCCAGAAAATATTTCGGAGCCCCCCCTTAACATCTTCATCCCCCCCCCTCGGCATAATAAATGTACTTTCCCTTAGTTACATAGCCATTTGACATCTCTTCCATCTTCCGAAAATGATGTCAGGTCTGTTTGCTGGATGGAAAATAGTGCTAACCATTTATTAAAGATCAGGCGCCTACACACATAAAAACGCACAAGTTGTACCGTAACAAACCTGCAGCAGACTTTATAGCAATGCTGTTCCAACAACTTGTCAACAGGATTTGTTCGCACTGCTTGTTCCCAGTTTGTTGACAACTTGCTACAAGGTTGTTACGCTCAACAGACTTGTTGCAAGTTGTTCCAGCAACTTGTTATCGTCCTGCAATTCAACAATTTGTGAGTGACGACCTTACAGCAACTTAGCATTAATATATCTACAGGTATTTGCACAATAGAAATCATAACAAGGTTTCATCCGCTGTAATGAATGGCTTGTTGCCCGACGGAAAAGGAATATGGCTACGAACATAGCAGGTTTGAGAAGGTTTTCACTTGTTTCCATCTACCAAACTGACATTACATAATTTGATCAATTTCTAAAGTTGTTTCTTTCTGGATTTTTTTATCAATTTGGTTAGGGTTAGGGTTGCGGTTAGGGGTTAGAGTAGGGGTAGGATTTGGGTTAGTTACATAGCCATTTAACACCTCTTCCATCTTCTGAAAATGACGTCACGTCAATTTCACAGATGGAAACTAGTGCTAACTGTTTGAGAAAGATGCTGACGAAAATTTTCATTGTTCAATTTGCTATAATGTTCTTAAAGGTGATGTAAAGTCCGTAATGTAAACAAATGCTTTGTTTACATTTTGAACTCAGTGCTACAGTTGTAAAATTACTAAAATATGATTAGATATATATTATACTGAATTTTAACACTCTTCTGGTTTGCTATGCTTGTAAATTTATAATACAGACTAGAGATTTAATTCAAGAAAGTTCGGAAGGTGCGAAATATTAACAATATTCCAATGGTCGGGTCCCGACCATTGGAATGTAGGCCTGCGCAGAACGTATGCTCAGAACGGACTTTACATCACCTTTAAAGAACCAAGGATGTGTAGAAATAATGAACACGTCTTTTGTCTTGCCTGCATCAGTGAACATCTGAAAGTAAATTCTCAAATTTGCCCCGAATGCAATGAACATTTGAGTGTTGATACGCTTCGCCGACCCTGTCTGTTGAATAATTATTTGTGTAAACTAAAGATTAATTGTGATCACGAGACTGAAGTTTGTGAATATAGGGAGGTGAAATGTCATGACTGTGGACAGATACAGAAAGTTGTAGGAAGATTGGAAGGATATTTGTTGGAACTGGATGGGAAAGTGCAAGACAGCAATCATAAAGTAATGGATGAAATAGAAGATGTGAAAGAAAATCTTTCCAAAGTGAACAAAGACGTGGACGAAGTCAAAGTCATGATGAGTCAAATGTTAGAGAAGTTTAATATGCTTGAACTGCTCAGCAAACTGCCATCTCTAACCGAGGGAATGTTCAATACACCTAGGGAAGATATTTTGATTGCTGGTGACTTGGGTACGGGACGTAGTGCAGAAATATTTTCCTGGGAGAAAAATGGTTGGTATGAGATTTGCCAAATGAATAAACGTCATGTTGGAGCTTCATCATTTATTTATAATGAACAACTATTTGTTGTTGGGGGATGTACTAAGACAATAGAAACCTTAGATTTCAATGAATTACCTTTGAAATGGATGGAATGGTCTGACGAACTTCCTTATGAGAGTTATTATCATCAAACTGTTGTTTGCCAACAGAGTGTCATTCACATTGGTGGATATAATGTTGAAGAGGGTAAAAATTCTAACGTGATTAGTGAATTGCAACTTACCTCACCTTGCACACTGAAAGTGTTGTGCCAAATGCCCCAGCCACGAGATTCTCATGGTGCTGAGGCTTTTGAAGATAAAATCTTGATCTTGGGAGGAGATGTACATGATGATGTTTTAGACAGTGCGTTGGAGTTTGATCCAGAGAAGAATGAATGTAAGGAGCTGCCATCATTACCACGTCCCATGCAGGGAATGGCCACAGTTCTCTGGAGAGATCAAGTAATTGTACTTGGAGGTCGTGATAAGGATGATCACGCTCTGAATGATGTTTTCATGTATGACTGCAAGACGGGCAAGATCACAGCCTTACCATACATGTTGAAGAAGAGAAATCAATGTTGTGCAGTTATTACTGGAAATACTATTGTAGTCATGGGAGGTGACGATGATGATGATGATCACAGTTCAGTGGAGTGTTTTACAATGGGAAGTTCTATGTGGAAATATCTTCCCAGCATGAATGAAGAAAGACCCAGAACAGTTGCTGAAGTTCTACCCTCAACTAGGAAATATGTGTAAGTTTGATATTTAACATTTGTCTGCAAATTTATATTAGATTGTTTTGTTCAGAGGTAAAATTCCACACATTTTTCTACGTAAGCTTGGATTTCTGACTGAGGTAAAGTAATAAGAATAACAAAGTTTCTCCAAGCAACATGCAAAAGCTGATTCCAACATCGTGTTATGATCAAAATGTTTTTGCATATTTTCTTGTCCCATTTAGCTAAGTTATGCCCAAACAATTTCTTTAAACCGGCTTTGTTGCTGTTGAAGCCATTGTGTTGTTCGTATTGCTATGTACCTTGGCTCAAACAAGAGAAATTAATTTCAAGTCAAAAACTGCTAGTGATATACAATTGTTAGAAGTAAAAATATTAATTGACAAGTCCTTATCTTGAGCCATAAGTGCACATTTTACTTTTTGACACTGAATTACTTTAGCACCAGTGTATTTCAAGAAACGTAGACTGCACTTAATCAATCGATAGCTTAACATATGTATGTCTTTCATGGAAAATAAAGTACAATTTTTAATCATATAATCTCAGGTTTCTACAGAAATTGTTCATCTTGTCAATAATAAGAAAGCTGTGGATACAACTACCTTTGCAGATACAACTACCTGAAAAATACAAGGAGAATTTCGTCGTTTCTGGCGAAGATCCTTCGTCATGAAGTTAGTAGCCATTAATCCTTGTATTTTTCACGTAGTTGTATCCCTATCAATCCCCAGCTTTCTCATTTCAAAACTAGTTTCATATTATTCAGACATTGCAGAGAACACTTTTCCTTGTATACTCAGCAGTGTCAGAATATCATGGAACTAGTTTTTCTTATCTCTGAGAATGGTTCTGAAATAGAATTGTTCATATTTAGTCTTGCTTTAATGTACAGTCGAACAACTCTTTTTGACAGCTCTTGTAAGCAAACGCCTCTTGAGTTTCGATTGCTGCCAAGGGGTCTATAGTTGCATTTTTTCGCAACTGGATGCTCCTGTATGGTTAGATCTGAAAATCGTATATAATCTTCCACTATAATCTTCCGCTATGGTTAGATCTGAAAATCGTATATAATCTTCCATCTAGCCCCCCCCCCCCTCCCTTTCCAGCCCGCCCCTCATCCATAACTTAAATATCCTACGTAGATACTTCTGCGTTAAGAGTGTAGCTGGCAGTATTTCTGTACTGGTACCCTGGTTGGCGGAGGTTCTCGTATCTTCCTCCCTTGCACTGGATCACGTATTCACGTTGAGCTGTGCCCTTCGGAATTCGACTTACCTCTCAACTGCAAGTAAGGATTTAGCATGCACACCTCTTACTTACTTACTTACTTACTATTTCGTATTTATTACGTAATTTATAATACGGCGGCACGAAAACTTCTGGAACCAGGGTACTGTACTGGAAGCAAAAGCTTTAATATGTTAAGAGCCTGGAGAGTTGGATACCTTGAAAAGCTGGAATAGTAAAGGTTAGCAGAGCTGAAAATCTTCACAACAGTCTGTTCCCCCTATATACATAATAAAAAAGGTTTGATAGTGACTGCGCTGTTTTGTCTATCAGCTCTTTGGTCTGCCAGAGGGGGACAGTCTAATTCGCGCAGTAGGTCGCCCTAGAGATAGGACAAAGTGGTCCAACTTGGCTTTGCCTGCCTACGTCGCCATGCCTGATTTGGAGGTATTCCGCCTTGTGGGTTGACGTATGTCATGCAGGTTCTGTTCAATGATCTGGTTTCTTGCACTTCACTTGGTGGTATTAATATTAGAATGCTGTTGTTAGGGTTTGTAATCCAAGTGAGTATATATACATTTTAAGACCTGACCAGGAACGACTGCGAAAAATGCAGCACAAGGTCCTCTCGCAGAGCCGTAGGTTCAATTCCTACCAGAGGACCTTGTGCTGCATTTTTCGCAATCGTTCCTGGTCAGGTCTTAAACTGTATATATACTCACCAGCGGTGGCGGAACATATTTTATTTTGGGGGGCTAAATTTCTAATATTTTATTTTGGGGGCTCTGGCTAAATTTTTTTTTTGTGATTAAAATCCCCCCGTCGCCACTTTGTTTCGGACGTAGCCAAAAAAATTTTCCGGACATATACAAAAAAGGGCTGAAAAAAATTTTTCCAGACATATAACAAAAAATGTTTCCGGAAATATAACAAAAAAATTTTCCGGCATACATTTTTAAACAAAATATTGCAAATTTTTTCCCTTTTAATTATACCTAAATCAAAGTTTCCAAAAATACCATAAATGTTTCCTTAATTATCAAAATTTTTCCAGAAAAAACAAAATTTTTGGGAGGGCTAAGCCCCCCACTTTTACCTCTGGGGGAGCTAAAGCCCCCCTAGCCGCCCCCCCCCCTGTTCCGCCGCCACTGATACTCACTTGGATTACAAACCCTAACAACAGCATTCTAATATCTTCTGTTCTGCCTATATGATCGCCACAATTCAATTTTGATCATTATTTCAATCTTAAAATTATCATTGAAAAGAAATGAAGATTTTTACTCGCATGACATGTAAGTCGTGTGTAAATTGGGTACGTGTTTTTGGTAATATATACAGCATGTATACTCGCTGTACAAAATATGCAGTACAAGCCGAAGGCGAGTGGTTGTATGTACTATTTAAAACACGAGTAGGAGTGTTCTATCAGATATATAACGTGAGGCGCAGCCGAGCGTTATATATCTGATAAAACACGACAACGAGTGTTTTGACTAGCTTAAAATACGACTACAAAAGAATACTAATTAGGATGAACCATAGTATAATCATGCTAATTAAGATGAACAATTATATAATGCCACATGTGTTTTATCAGATATAAAGTCACTCCACGTGACATATTATGCCTGACATGATTTGCCACAAGGTTTATGAATTATTAATGAGTATTTTAAGTCTTTATGCAACACGGACGCTGATGCTGTAAATAACTTGTCATTCATCTTGATAATATTCTTCAATAATCTGAAAGACACAAATGACATTTTGTGAGAAAAATGAATTGAAATCAGCGGGATTTTGTATCAGACGTCGTGCCCTTCATAGTCATTATATTTTCTTTCCTTTTTTTCATAAATTATTAACCAGAATATTGAGTATAATTGTACTTCGTACATAAAGCTAGCGTAGTACTATTCATATTTGAAAGAGAATTTTGACTCGCCCGAGATTTCTTAGAAATCACTTAAGCATCAATTTCTGTAGCAATAGTGAAGTGATGTTATGACCTTTGATTATATGATGTCATATTTCCAAGTATTTGTTGCATAATCAAGGATTTGTTATTGCAAAATACTAAAATCAAACCGGAGCGAAGGCGGAAGTGTTTCAAAACCTCGTCTGTTTCTTGGTTTCGATCTATTTTCTTTACAATGTAAGATAAACCTTACAAAGAAATATCATTGGTATATTTATTCTGACAATGGAAAGCAGAGCACCGTTTTGTCAGCTGTAAATAATGGCTTGTTGCCCGACGGAAAAGGAATATGGCTACGAACATAGCAGGTTTGAGAAAGATGTCGACGAAAATTTTCATTGCTCAATCTGCTACAATGTTCTTAAAGAACCAAGGATGTGTAGAAATAATGAACACATCTTTTGTCTTGCCTGCATCAGTGAACATCTGAAAGTTAATTCTCAAACTTGCCCCGAATGTAATGAACATTTGAGTGTCGATACGCTTCGTCGACCCCGTGTGTTGAATAATTATTTGTCTAAACTGAAGATTAATTGTGATTATGCCAGTCGAGGATGTCCTGAGTTAAGCTGTGTTGAAGATCTCGAAACTCATGTTGGCAATTGTGGCTTTGCGCCTGTGTTGTGTTCAAATGCAGAGTGTCGTATGGAGATTAATAAACGGGACAAGGTTTATCACGAGACTGAAGTTTGTGAATATAGGAAAGTGA